GATGGTTTTTTGTCGGTTTGAATGACAAACTTGAAGTCTTTGTCTTGATCTGAAATACTGTCGATTGAGGATTGGAAGGCTTTGATTTAAATGTTACAATCAAGCAGCATTTTCTGCAACTGGCGCACCAGGGTCTTGTTAAGCCCGGAAACATTAGCGCACCGCAATTGTGCTTCAATTTCATCGTCCCCAACGAAAAAAATTTGTAAAAAAATTGTGTTGCTCAGTCGTGGTGGGTAAAAGACTACCAATCACGTAATACACTTGTTCTTGGACTTCAAATGAAGGCATAAAATTCCCTTCAACGATTTCATTAGCACCAAATGACGGCATTTGAAAAGTGCTGTCGTAAATGCGAATATTGTTCAAGCAATGCTAACTTTGAGGATGATCGCCACGTAAGGGGCATCAAGAAGCTGAGGGAGCTTGTGTAAAGGAGTGAGACAAACTTTACCAGCGTTACAGCACGAACGAGGAGACTCGAATTTCCAAGTGCGAGCTTGGTAATAGTCACAGACAACATCCATGAATCCAATGCGTACTGTTTCGTCACATTAATATTTCATGTTTTCTTCTTATCAAAATCCACGATCAGTTTTTTTTAGTGAAACTTTTCGCATGAGTTGCTTTTCATGATTGGTATCATATCTACAAACAGCGTCTCTGTTAACTTGGGGATTTGTCTAGGAGTATTTAGCGACAGCGTCTCTGTTAACTTGGGGATTTGTCTGGGAGTATTTAGCGACAGCGTCTCTGTTAACTTGGGGATTTGTCTGGGAAGATTTAGGGACATCGTTTCTGTTAACCTGTGAGTAATAAGCGACAGCGTCCCTAATAACTTGGGGATATACCTGGGAGTTTTTAAGGACAGGGTCTCTATGAACTTGTGGATTTTTTCAGGCAGTATTTGGCAGCAGCGTCGCAAAGTTGTTTCAGTCTATGCGCTTTAGAGAATCCTCGACGACGTTTCACATGCCTCTATTTTTTTTGGTTCGTTATAGCTTGGAGTGATATTGCAATGAAGCATTTGAGATTCAATGCTACTTCAACTACATTAGTAGCTGGTGTAAAATGGTGAGCAAGTGACATTCGGCTTCTGTGAAGCGTACAAGGGTACAAACGTTTGCATAGATAACTTGTTGTCCCCTGCCATTACTCCAAGAAAACACTACACAATAATAATACGTCATTTCCCTTTTCATACAATACGTCACAAGATACTAAGCATAATAGATAAAACAACACATAATAATATATCTAAACAACATGCAATCACAATATTTTGTTGTTAATTTTATTTATATATCTTATATACGGAAAAAAAAACTAATTCGGTGCCCCGGGTGTGACCGTTCCTTATAGAGTTTCGATGTAAAACCTGCTTAACTTTGTAAGTAGGCTGTAAAGAATAAGCCTTCCAAATTTAAGGCTTCTATTTACAAGCGAAGCTGTAGGATAAGTGACGAGTCAGTGAGTGAGTGAGGGCTTTGCCTTTTATTAGTATAGATTATTGTTTTACCAGGCAACAAAAATTTAAGCTTTAACTTTGTATAAGTATTACCACCACTAAACATTTGTAATTCATTAAGAAAAACATTTCAAATTTAAGGTTAAAAATAGTTAAAACATCAAAATAAAATATTTAAAATTATTTTCAGAATATTGGCAAATAGATAATTTTAGTTTTTGCATTTTTTAGTGTTTTTTTAAAAAAAGTATAATCAAAATTTGATAAAATAGGTCATAGGTCACATTTGCAGTATTTCCACCAGTGCCGTCTTCAGGCATGTGCTAGTGGGCACTAGACCAGGGTCTCAATTCTTCTAGGAGGCCTTGCATTACTAGGAGACTCACTCCTACAGAGGGATCATGCTTTACATATTGATAATGAATATTGAAAGATTTTGCAATTTAATTTAATACAAAAGACACTGGACAGCCCCTTTCCCTATTTTAACCAATGATATTATCGAAACATTCTAAAATTAATATTAAAAATTTGAATCACAAATGGGATACATTTTTTTTTTAAATTTAAAGGAGAAAACTCTTGTTCTCCGAGATAGGACTTTTTTTTTAAAAATAATGAAGAATTTATGTTTACGATCGTGTACAATAACCTCAGCTCCGCAACTGGTTAGAAGTGAAATACGTGGAAAAAAGTCTACTTTAACACTAGTTCAAATGCGACTGAATTTAATTAGCATTATTTAAAGGAATTTGTAGGGCACAACTAAATTATTGTTTTTTAAAGTAAATTAATTTAAAAAAAAAAAAATAACTTTATATCTGCTAAGATGAAAATGTTTTGTTTTCTTTGTCTGAAAATCACATTTAGATAAATGGAACCAAACAGTCACCGTAGGTCTTATTTGACGGCAAAAATATATACGTCTTTTGGTATATATATACTTCTAAGTCACCATTAAAATCTAAAAATCACTTTCATCTAATATAGTTCAAACACAGAGACAAATTTTAATAATATCAACCACAATCGTTGGATTAAAGTCTGAAGGGAAAGCTTATACCAAAAACGTTTTACAAGATTTATCAGTTGGTGCTATGAAAACATTCTTTAATTAAATGTCTCAAAAACGAAAAAAAATGGTTGTTGATTTCCACATCGGGAATCATCCAATGGAAGATCTCATAATAAACAAATCATAGAGTAATTGGAGACATATAAGTACCTAAGTGCCACCATTACTAATCTAACTTGTCATAGACACGCACAAATCTGTATTAAGTCTTCAACCAAAAACTTTTATACATTAAAAATGTAAACAATTTCGGCTATAGCAATCACGTTTTTTTTTACTTTCTTTGCTGTGCACAATTGAAAGTCAACTACACTTTAGTATTACATGCAGGTGTGCGATTTCATCGTTTGGCATTAAGCAACGATTATACCGACTAATAAAGAAAGCTAGTCATATTACACAAACTAAACATCCTCAACTTAAAGAACTATTTAAAACATAATGCGGTTATAAAATTATTTTTAAAAAAAGGAATGATACATGAGATCCACTTTATCACAGATCGCAAAGATCAGCTCAATTACACCGAATTCTTTCTTTTTCGTGTTAAAACAAAGTCTCCCCCCCCCCCAGTTTGTACGACCTTACCAACGTGCCTCCAACCCCAGCGATCACTCAATCTAAATGATCACTAATTAAGTAAATATTGTCAATAAATCAGTTCATTTATGGCTGACTTTTACGCTAGAGAATTCTATATATGTCTTGTGCTCAAATTGTTATAATTAGAAAACTCTGCCTTGGTTAAAACTATGTACTTAGTTATGTGCTGAAAATGAATAAGTACAACGTGTTTAAAAAAAAAAAAAAAAAAATTCCATTTATTTAAATAAATAAAAAAATAATCTTATCTTATCTTAGAGACTATATTTTTGACATTCATTGATATGTCATAGATAGTCAGCGATGGATTTATTATTGATCCCTTACATCGAACTTAATATTAGAACGTCGTCAAATTATTTGTTCAGTAGGCCACTTGAATGGAGATCAATATGTCATGGTTCTGTTAACTTAAAGAAATAAAATATAACACGTAACATAGCTTTGTATAGAGAATGGATTTCATATCACGGTAAATGTTGCCCTACTTGAACTAATTTGAGGCACATTCGTTTCAATGGTTGGGTTACTGGGTCCCTTGGGTTGGGGGGGGGGGGGTGATTTAATTTTTTGTGCTTTAAAGATCAATAAAGTATTTATTTAATTTATTTTTTTTATCACGGTAAATGTTGGCCTACTTGAACTAATTTGGGGCACATTCGTTTTAATGGTTGGGTTACTGGGTCCCTTGGGTTGGGGGGGGGGGTGATTTAATGTTTTGTGCTTTACAGATCAATAAAGTATTTATTTAAATTATCTTTTCATGCTACTTAAAGAATTGCCTATAGAATTAGAATAACAGTATAAAGATAACCTTGACATTAGGAGTTTGATCGATTTTAATATTTATGTAACGTATTTACAAAATGTATTTAATAATATTTATCATAATTGCAAAAATTTAAAAAAAAAAAAGAAAAAAGCAAACTATTCAGAAAGAAAGTTTCGTATAGGAACAAATTAAACATTGATTCTTGTAAACGCGCGGAGTTTCAGCACGCCATGCAAGTAGGTATATATCGTTCTTAATTTAAATACATTACAATCATGATTGAAAGGCACATTATATTGACACCAATTAAACGTTAACTGGTTTTCATGTCATTGGGACACAATCAACTAACAATTTTTTTCCGTGTTAATATGTTAATTTTGCTTATTGTAATACTAATATTTTGTAAAAATCGTAAAGAATACATCATTTTGAAGAATTTGGAGGCATTTAAATAGTGTATTTTTTTTAAAAAAGGTATCTTTCTTACTTAATTTTTCTTCTATTCTGGAGATCTACAAGCAGAGGCAGCAATTTTCAGGAAAACAACTGAATTAAACGCATCCGAATATAACGCGAATTCCGACATACTGTCTCTCTCTTAGACCTAAATCCATTTATAAACAGATGTGTGTATATTCGTTTCTGATATTTTCTTTTAATATCTTAATCATATGTTACCGTTTGAGAACATGTTCAAATTTATTTGCTATGTAAATTTATTTTTTTTAAAAATCGTTTTTTTTTAAAAATATAATTGCTAGGAAAAATATGACCCGTAAGGCCCTTAACATTGATTAATATTGATTTTTATACACTTGACATGTTTGTTAAAGTATTCAAATCTGCTTGCCTTGAGTGTGGAAAGGTAACATTAAATGTCAGTTCTTTTTCTGTGACTGGCTCTTTGTGCTCTGTGCGACATGGTTCTTTGCAACTATTGCTGAACAGATTGAATGGAGACGGTGCATACTGTCAGAGATTGTCATTCGCCTAATTTAATTGATTTTATTGACAAATCAGCGAACTGTAACTACTTAATAAGATCATGCCTTTTAGTCTTCTAGCAAAAGATTTTCATTTGACATTGATTTTTTCACTGAGAATACCTGAAGCCGAGTGATCCTCTATAAAGGTAACACATTATACTAGCATACTTAATAATAATTGTTTACATTTTTGTATTAAATATTAAAGACACTCATATTTTGTCAAACAATGTATTTTTTTAAATATATTTCATAACTTAAGCCTACTGATTACTGCAGAATGTAATTAGTGTTTTAATGATATATGAAACAAATTATAATGAATAGTGGGTATATAATGTATATATTTTTGTTATTTCAAATATATATAACGTTACATCATTAGTTATTTATTTTTAAATCTTAAAATTGGTTCTTTAGTCATTTATTGCTATATTATATTTACCGATTACAGAAATAGACATGTCAATTTATTACAATTTCCTAGTTTGAAAACCACTAGTGTAATTATACGTTTTAGAGAATGCATTATAAAATGACATAATTATCACTATTGCTCCACGCTCTTTCATTGAAGCCCAATGATTGCGTTGTATTCTTTTTGTAGTAACGTTGGTCTAAATATACATTAGTGGCAAAACATTTAATGAAATAAGAAAATAACCTTAGGCTTTTAAAACTGGTAATTCATAGAAGAGATGCCAATTTTTTCCAATAGCCGCCATCCTGGTTGACAAGACCAGTCAATTATGTCACTAAATCTAAGTAAATCTATCCCTAATCCTAACCTGAACCCTAAATGTATCCCCAAACATAAACTGAAACCTAAAAAATGTATCCCTAAACCTAACCTGAACCACAAAAAATGTATCTCTAAACCTAACCCTAATTCAGTAAACGTGCAAAGACGCCGTGGCAATCGTTTTTAAATTTAGCTTTAATACCTTTTAAGTTCAAACGATCAAAATTATATATATATATATATATATATATATATATATTATATACAATTCTCCAACACACATGACTTTGCCCATGATGGATGAATTGGAAAAAAAACACAAGAAAACAACCTTTTAGCTATAATAAAAAAGAGCCCCTTTGTCAAAACTTCATTCTCTATAGGATACCCACCGCGAGAATGCCGTTACCTGGTTGGATCCGAGTGTTATTACTATTATTATTAGTTGTCTGATATAGCACGGTACCCTAGCCTAGGGCTGGGCTCATCGCGTTTTACATTAAAGTATTAGCAAAAGAGACATAATCGTGACATTAAAATCAGATACATTTATGAAATAAAGAACATCGCATAAGGAAAAACAAATGTATATTCACCCACTCTACACCATAACTTTCACAAGGCAAACCATGGACGGCAGACAGCAAGATGTTTATCGATATGATGAAGGGTATCAGCAGAGTAGTATAGTTTAAAGCAGGGGTCTCAAACTTAAATCATCCGGGGGCAGCAGGAGATAAAGTCTGAGGGAGACTGGGCCATATCAAGTAAAAAAAGAGCAAATACAAATTCAATAAGGTACATCACGGTACAATATGCTGAACCTTTATTATTAATAAAATAAAATGTTAAGGGTTCTCAAGAACCAGGCTGCACTTTCTTTCTCCTACTCCTTGTTGCCAGAGATCTGGCAGCGCTTCTTGCAACTTAGTAACATTTTGCTTGAGTGAGGAAGCAGCTGAGAACCTCAGTAAAGCTTCAAGATGCTCATCCATATGTTTTGCCCTGAGCTTTGACTTGTTATATTTCATATTGGGGAAAAGAGCTTTGCCCACCAGATAGGTAGTCCCAAATAAGGCACATAATCCTGCTTGAGCAACCTTCAAATCTCAGTGAAGGTGGAGGACAATGCTCTCATAAATTATCCATGCTTGTCTGTTTTCTATTCATCTCCCTGAACTTAGAATAGCACTGAAGATAATCAGCTCCATTTGAAGCGCAAGTGGTTGGCGGGGCGCATCTACCACATTAAAGGAGAAAGGCTAGGCTATAAGTTAAAAAGTTAATATGTGTGTTTTGAAGTCTAAAACCATTTTATCAAATTCTTCCTGAAGCTTTGCAGTGGCATCGGTGTACTCACTGCTGAATGGTGTTCACGAATCTATAATTATTATTCATGTTGTGAAATGGCAGAGATTTCTCTAAGAACCATAACACACATTGTCATATGCAACACTGGCAAGCTGGCACTTGCCTTGTAACTTCTTGTTGAGTACAATCAGCTCATGTGTAATGTCAACAGAAAAGCAAAGTCCATGAGCCATTTAGGATCCCTTAGCACAGGAAAAACCATCCAATCCTTCTCCATGAAGGCTTAAAATGCTTAGATGTGTTGAGACAGTAGGCTGGTGTAGGCAATATTTATGAATTTTTCATGCAAAGGAAGAAGATATTGTAGGGAGAATCAATTTTGAGTTTTTATCTTAGAAAAGGCCTTTTTGACCAACCCTTTTTTTAAATGAAACCACGCTGACATACTCGGAAGTTACCTCACTCGTTAACAGTAGGGACAATTTTGATAGGGATTATTTTATACTGTGTCAGATTTACACAATTATGGTTGTGCATTACCCACTAACTGACTTTTAAATTTTTCTCAAAACCGCACATAGATCATGTTTGTCTCATGAAATGCTAGTTTTAAAAAAAAAATTAAAAGAAAAAAAAAAACCGATTGGTCCGTTTTTGAACCGTTTTTTACCACTATAATCAACTTTCAGATCTAGACAAATTAAATATAAAAATAATCAGAATTAGACTAATCGCTGAAATTCGACTGAAACCGTCTCAGAGGGTCACAATATAGATATGAGAATGGGGAAGACTCGCGAGCCGCATTACACTAAAATTTGCTGTCATTTAGCGGGAAGCAAAATATCGCCTAGCGGGCCCCAAATTTTAAAACCCAAGCTTAAAGAGATGTGTTTTGAATGCAGTTTTAATGGCCTGGGTGGTTGTTATATGGCAAATGTGTAGTGGCAAACGGATTCCATTGTTTGCGGGTGCAGAAAGAGAAAGATCGTTTACAATATTTTTAGAGTGTGTCTTGGTAACGGACAGAATACGGGTGTCTGCGGAGGAGGTGTGAATAGACAGAAAGAAGTTCGGTTAGATAGGAATGACTGGGATCCAAGGAAAAGTTTGTGACAAAAAACAGACATTTTGTAGTCAATGCGTGCTCGTATAGGGAGCCAATGAAGTCAGTGGAGTAGTTGAGTGACGTGATAACGATTTTCTTGCCTTTAGAACTATCCTAGCAGCTGAGATTTGAACTTTCTGCAGTTGTTCTATGAAGTTTTTTGGTGAACCTGACAGAAGAGGCTGCAATAGTCAAGACGAGAAAGAACAAAAGCACAGGCTATAGTTTTAGTTGCGCTGTTAGGTAGTGGCGGATGGAGCTAATCTGACGGATAGTATGTATGCCGAACGACAAATGTGAGAGATATGTTTATCGAGAGACATGTTGTTAGAAAGAATAGAACCAAGATTCCTAGCAGAGGTGTAAACTGTATGTCGGATTTACCTACTTGAAATCAGGTGAGAAGAGTTGTGGTAGCGGATGATTTGTGATTGTTGATGAGGAATGCTTCCGTTTTGTCATCATTAAGCTTCAAATGGCTGAGTGTCATTTACGACTTGAAATCATCAATGCACCCCCGCAAAGTCTGGACAGCGGAATCGAAAAGAGTGGGATGGGTATACATGTATAGCTGCGTGTCATCTGCAAATGACTGGCTCTCAACAGCATCCCTCCAAATTAAGAGCACCAGTGGCCTGGTATACAACGTAAATAGAAGCGGGCTCAAAACTGTCCCCTGTGGCACTCCCGGAGCACTCCCGGAGAGACAGCCTGTTATAGAGAGCTTGTTTACATAATATTTCTCGTGCGTGCCCTCTGATTGACCCCGCATGAAACGCTGTGTTCACAAAGGGGTGTGGCTTAGGTCTTTGATGTATTCTTGTTTACGCCGCCAACGAATAAACATAATTAATCTGTTCCAAATAGTATTTGGTAGAATGATTGGGATTATTCTCGAAATGTCTCGAAGGCAGGGCTTTGGCGTCGGTAGACCCACCTATATAAGGGATTGACAGGCACGAAGAGAGACGGAGATTTTCATATAGATTCTCTTAACATTACGAGGCGTGTTTTATTCTTTGTGTATTTGTGTGCTCCTACTTATATGTGTTTATTTCGCATTATTTATTGGCATCATTATTTCTAATTGTATTAACTGTGTACCGGTACGAGATCCACCATACTGTAAGTTGAAGATTGTAATTTTATTTTATTTTCTTTTGTAATTATCTTTAGACATAATAAATCTTATTAATTGTAACTAGAAACTGTTTTGGGTCGTATCTTTAATATTGTTGATTCTGTGGTATCGTCCTTTGTTAGGCACTGATTACAACGAGCTAATTAAAATTAAAATAGGAGATTAATTTCTCCCAACACAAGTCAGTGCGTAACAAATTGGGTTGCTCGTCCCGGATATAGCGGACTCCATATTATTATTTTTCTCAAGACCCCAATTCTAACAAATTGGGGGCATCGTCCGCGATAACCGAATCCATATTTTATTCTCATTAGACCCCAATTTTAACAAATTGTGGGATTTTCCGAGGATAATTTTAATCCATAATTTTTATTACACCAATAATAAATTGAGTGTTTTTCTGTGGATTTTGACCCACTGTTTACTTTTATATACTCAGATTAATTTTGAGTACACGATACCATTTTACGATACCAACAACAGAGCTGGTTACAATTTTTCTTTAAATTCAATTAGATTAGTGTGTGCACTAAGCTTAAATTTGTATAAAAATTGTTATATTTTGCCTGTGTCTAAATGGATTTTGATGTTGAAAACCCATCAGTAGAGGCATTAGACAAATGTTCTAGGAAGGAGCTATTTTCCATTGCTAAAGCTCTAGGAATGAATGTAGCTCATTCGGCTGTAAAAAAGACCATACGAGACATGATCATCGTTCACTTAGTGAATGAAGACATGTTATCTGAGGATGAACTGGCCTCAGTCACACAACCGAATGATCCAAGTATGGAGCTCCAACTGAAGCTCAAAAAGCTGGAGCTAGATAAAGAACGAGAGCTCAAACAGCTGGAGCTAGAAAAAGAACGAGAGCTTAAACAGATGGAGCTAAAAGCTCAAAGAGAGAAAGAAGAAAAAGATAGAGAGCTAAAAATAAAGTTAAAACAAATGGAAATAACGGCCAATTTAGGAGCAATGGAAAATAGACTCACGGCTCCAGCCGGTCAGGGTTGCGATGCAATTAAATTTGCAAAAGTAATCCCTAAATTTTCAGAAAAAGAGGTTGACCAATATTTTGCGCAGTTTGAGATAACTGCCCAAAATTTTGAAATTCCTGAAACTATGTGGTCCACCTTACTTCAGCCAGCCTTGACCGGAAGGGCATCCGAAGTCTTTGTGTCCCTGAATGCGGAACAGCGCGGGGACTATAACCTAGTAAAATCATTAATACTTAAGGCTTATGAATGTGTCCCCGAAGCATACCGTAAAAAGTTTAGGGAACTGTGGAAACGTGTATTTAGGAGCAATGGAAAATAGACTCACGGCTCCAGCCGGTCAGGGTTGCGATGCAATTAAATTTGCAAAAGTAATCCCTAAATTTTCAGAAAAAGAGGTTGACCAATATTTTGCGCAGTTTGAGATAACTGCCCAAAATTTTGAAATTCCTGAAACTATGTGGTCCACCTTACTTCAGCCAGCCTTGACCGGAAGGGCATCCGAAGTCTTTGTGTCCCTGAATGCGGAACAGCGCGGGGACTATAACCTAGTAAAATCATTAATACTTAAGGCTTATGAATGTGTCCCCGAAGCATACCGTAAAAAGTTTAGGGAACTGTGGAAACGTGATGGCCAGACTCATGTTGAGTTCCTCCGGGAAAAGGAACGGCTCCTGGACAAGTGGCTGCACGCAACCAACACCGAGACAGACTTCAAGAAATTCAAGAACCTCATTCTGATGGAGGAGTTCAAGAACTGTATTCGTACTGAGGTGCGAATAGATATTGCAGACCGTGGCGAAGGTGACGCACATACGGCAGCAGTGTTAGCCGATGACTTCACCATCTCACATCAACTTTCCAAGAATCCATTTGACACAAGAAAAGACAGGCACAATAAGAAAGCTGTATCAACTTACAGTAAACCTTTACAAAAACCATTCAAGCCCGGTACGAAAGAAACAAGTGCCAAAGACACATGTGCCTACTGTAAAAAGGAAGGACATACGAGGGATGATTGCTGGAAACTCAAGAAGAAAACTGAGAAGACCACACATCCTGGTACACAACACAAAGTCTCCGCTTGTACGTCTCGTCATACATCTGGAAACACATTTTCAAAATTCAAGAGTTTTTGCTCTCCAGATGTCCATACAAACTTCAAAGAGGTTTGTCACGACTCATCAAAGAGTTCCATTATGAACAATAAGGCTAGTTTTACTGACTCCAGCCAAGTTCCTGCTTCGACTGCGAGTTTTATGAGCTTGTCGCCAAGATCCTTTTGCTCCAAGAAGAGGTCTACCTCCAGAGGGCGTCTTACTGAGGACGTGTGTGCAAGTTTTGACGACTCTACCCAGAGTTTTACTTCCTCTACCCTAGCCGAATGTTCTCAAGACTCCAACAAGAGTTTACCTACCAAGGTCCAAAATTCTACATCAGAAACTACTGATGTCATACAAGACTTCATGCCTTTCATATCGGAAGGATTCGTATCACTGCCAGGTGATTTTTCCAGTCTACAACCAATCAAAATCTTACGAGATACAGGTGCTTCACAGTCCTTACTACTTGAGGGTATACTTCCCTTGTCTGAATCTACTGCTACTGGGAGCAACATCCTGTTACGAGGTGTAGAGCTGGGATGCATAGATGTACCTTTACATCTCATCAACCTAAAATCAGACTTAGTCTCCGGACCTGTGGTTGTGGGTGTCCGACCAACATTACCATTGGACGGCATCTCGTTGCTGCTAGGCAATGACTTAGCTGGTGGGAAGGTGATAGCCGAGCCCATCGTTACTCATGAACCTTGTTTAAATGAAAATCAGGAAGAAGATCAAGAATTGTATCCAGCATGTGCTGTGACAAGGGCCATGAGTTCCAAGATCTCCACAAAAGAGATTTCACAAAAAGGCAATAAAATTCTTCCTGAAATTGACCTGGGAAAAACATTTTTTGCAAGTCTAAATGAAGAGGCTAGTAATTACAAGACTCCAACTCGAATGCAACTTATTGAAGAACAGAAGAGTGATCCAGAAATAGTCAAACTTCGAGAGAACGCTTTGACCCAAGAAGAAGCTGAACAATTCCCTATATGTTATTACCTTCAAGATGACATACTTTTGAGAAAATGGCGACCTCCAGACGCAAATGCTGACGAAGAATGGAGGATAGTTCATCAAATAGTAGTTCCTACCCCATTCCGGAACGAAGTCCTGAACTTAGCCCATGACTCACCACTTTCAGGTCATTTGGGAGTAAAGAAGACATATCACAAAATCACGTCGCACTTCTTTTGGCCCAAAATCAAGAAAGATGTGGTTGAATACTGCAGATCATGTCATACTTGTCAGGTTGTAGGGAAACCAAATCAGAAGATACCAGCAGCTCCTCTTCAACCCATTCCAGCATTCGAAGAACCTTTCAGTCGCGTTATTATAGACTGCGTTGGACCTCTGCCAAAGACAAAATCAGGTCACCAATACTTGCTGACAATCATGTGTGCGTCAACAAGATTCCCAGAAGCTATTCCTCTTCGCAATATCAAGACTCCGAACATCGTCAAAGCCTTGACGAAGTTTTTTACATTGTTTGGTCTTCCGAAGTCTGTACAGTCTGACCAAGGAACCAACTTCAAGGCTGGAATATTCAAACAAGTGATGAACCAGTTGGGCATAGAACACTGCTTGTCGAGTGCATATCATCCTGAGTCACAGGGAGCACTTGAGCGATTCCATCAGACGTTGAAGAACATGATGAGAACCTACTGCCTAGAACAAGAGAAAGACTGGGATGAAGGCATCAACATGCTACTGTTCGCCGCAAGAGAAGCAGTTCAAGAATCACTTGGATTCAGCCCCTTCGAACTGGTGTTTGGCCACACGGTTCGCGGTCCCCTTAAACTTTTAAAAGACACGTGGATGTCATCGGCATCCACGGAAGGACTTCTTGACTATGTCCAAAAATTTAAAACTAAACTTTTTAATGCCGTTAATTTGGCTAAAACACATTTAAAAGATTCACAATCTAAAATGAAAGTTTGGTATGACAAAAAGTCAAAATTCAGACAGTTTGCTTCAGGGGACAAAGTGCTTGTGCTTTTGCCGATACCAGGGCAAGCACTACAAGCTAGATATTTTGGTCCTTATGTTGTTGAGTCCAAAATCAATTATTTAAATTACATTGTGTTAACACCAGATCGTAGAAGAAAGAAACAGTTATGTCACATTAACATGTTAAAAGAATATTTTGATAGAAAATGTCATGATCATTGTCCATCCTAAGAAACAAATGTTAACACAATCTCAACTGTAACTTCAGTACTTAAAGAAAATGTTACTGAAACCTTTGAAAGTGTCCCAGAAAAATAACTAGTTTTTCAATTACTTTAGCTAAAAATGAAAAGTTAGATACAGGTCTTTAGTATTTTAAATTGTTTTCATCCAGATTAGCGTATATAAAAAAATCGAAACTTCTTGAAAAATATACAAACTTCATAAAAGCTATAAAAATATAACTCACTGATACTGCCAAAAACTCTTGTAAAGTCTAGCAACGAAAAGGACTAAACTAACATATCAAATAGATTTTAGATCCACATCACCATGGAACAATATTAAACGTTCTCGTATATTCTAGATTAAGTTTGATAAGCTCCTTACAACGTGTGAAAAAGTACAAAACAAAACGTTCTACAACTGAACGCGAGAACTAGAACAATTTTTATGCACGTTAAACTGCTGGGGGCCCATAGCTATCGTTCTGCATATAGTGGGGCCCTATGACATTCGTTCAGATAAATAATGGAGTTCAATTCATAAGTCATCCCATTAAAATTTGTTTAAAATGCCATACATAGTTGTTTTGTTTGTTTTTTTAATTTTCTAACCTATGTATTGCTACCGAGCTTGCCATAGATCCGCCAATTCACATAGAAGCTATAACATTGTCTAAATCTATTGATATTTACATCTCTTACATAACTGAAAATTAAAAGGTACACCCGGCAACAAAGTGGTTGATATTATGAGTTCAGTACCCTTCGCAATTTCCATATCTATAATTAAGTGGATGTGTACTAAATTTAACCAAGATCCATTTATCGTGTTGAAGTATGTGTTGGTCATTTTATTTATATAGTTCAATCTACAAAATAATAGCTTTAGTTCCCCGAAGTATTATAAAAATTTCAAAAGCCCAAAGTATTTGATTTGTGATACTGATCACAGTATGTGACAAGATGGGAGATTTCCATCAATCCATAATAAAGCCTTTAAGAAAAAAAAACAAAACCCACAAACAAATTTTCACTTCCATGTATATATTTATTGCAACAACGGAGATGCTGCTTAAAATTAAATGTACCCCTGTACATGAAACTCGTCGAAACTTCTCAACTCTGGCATCCCTCTATTCTTGTGAACTTTATCATCATTTTAATTGTGAGACTCGACAGTCTTAACTGTTTGATTTTTTTTTTTTAAAGAGCTTCACCAACTACACTATGAATTAAAATATTCAATAGATGACCTAAAGAGAAACCGGGAAAACTGATATTTTTGTGCCAAATTAAAATTTAAGGTACCGGTAATAGAAATCCAATAATGTAAAAGATAAACTGAACACAAATTCCATACCAAACAAATGAGCATACCAACGTCAGCTTTATAGTTAACGAATTGGATTTCCATAATCATTATAGGCAATATCATAGAGCGGATGTGGCGTAGTCTGGCACGATCCATTTTAGCTGAACAGCTTATTTAATATTGAAAAATATATTAATGTCCGAATGTTTTATTTTTGTCTGAAATTACTACAAACAAATGTTTGAAATCAATGTTTCAATATACGATAAGAAGTTGGGAATTCAAAAATTAATTTTGGTGGCCTCCTTATGTATCGAAAAAAAAAAGAATTATGGCTGATTTAAGCTAGCTGATGATTCCGTCGGTTGCAATTCGTACTTGTTGATGTTCGTCAGTCCGGAGTCGACCATGACCATTTTAATCATCAGAGTTTGTTCTTCTGGAGCAGAGTCAGACCGGGCCTTCATGGCATGTCTCTTGCTTATTCGTACTTATAGCCCTGTACAATTTATCAAGGAAACAATGCTATTTGTGCTATTGTAAAAGGTATCATTTATAGCATCATAAATAGTCCATATATCTCTAGATTTAAAGTATTCTTCTGTCTAAGAGTGTGCACAAATCGAAGTAAGGAAAGGACTATTATTTAAATGTATATCAATAGTTGCAGGATTAGACTAAAATTAAACTAGTTTGTTATTTTATTTATTTTTTTTTTAATTATGATTTCCATTCAAATTTAAACAGTGAAACATTTCTATAGATTTAATTTAAACATAGGAGTAAATTGGTTTTAAAGGTAATAAATATTTTCGATTCATATTTATATATTGTTGCATATCATTTTGAATTATGTTCTTATTTTGATTTCAGTAAAACAATAAACAAAAATGAGGTTATCGGGTGCTCGATTGACATTCCTAGTAGTTATTGTTGTGTTAACTTTGCCTATAGAAGCTCTCAATTGTTCAGAGTGCTGGTAAGATTATATTATCTTGATTTAAAAACATTCATTCACACATTTTTCTAACAAATGCAATTTATTTTTTATTTTTTAATTAATGCAGTCAGTATCAATTTAATAGGAATACAAAATATATTTTTTCTGAAATAATTAAAGACTTGTTCTAGACACTGGGAGAAAATGAAGGGCAACAAAAGACTAAAAATATGTATCCCAAATAAATCGAGTTTAGCTGAGCCTTAAGAACTTTTAGAACAGTGATATCAAAAACGCTAAACATCAATCAAGCACCCTATACATTTAGGGCAATAGATGTATTGTTGTTTTTTTCTTTTTAGATAACGAACATGGAATGAAGCCTTTATTTCTTATACATTTTTTTCTTTAATAAAAAATAAAATTAAAATATTGTAACATCTTTTTTTTTTTTTTTTTAGAAACTAAACTGTAATCTAATTGATAGTGATTGTACCTATAATTATTATTAATTGTTATGATTTGTTACCAAGCTTGGTGGCCAACGATTCATTTAGAGACGACATTTCACTTTTGAATTCTGCTGATAAACAAGTGGTGTGGATCACTCTCAAGTTGGATGGAAATGAGACTGAGAGGCTTGAAAATGAATTTAGTGGAGTTTTCAAGCCTAACCTATGGGCTGTACTTTTGAAGTCACAGGTTTGTAAACATTCATCTGTGCATGCATAAGATTTCTATGATCCTTAGGTATCGCCAATAATGAGTTAGTTATAAAAAAGAACATGTAAATTTTAAATACAGTCCATATACGATTTTTGAAAGTTTATTTTTCTTCAATTTGTATATAGCTGAATAATGTCCAGTTTTATTCGAGGTTATTCTCGCTGTGCATCAAGTTCCATTTCCTGTTATTTAAAAAAAAATAATACTGAAAAAAATATAAATTTGCAAACGAGAGATTACGACTTGACTGCAGCGATTGCCATTTTTGATGGTTTGACGTCACATTCTTGGGTCCCATGTGATCATCCTACCTACTATGCCACATCTGCCCCACAGTTATGTTTAACTCTTCATTTCACTCAGTTTTCAAATCCCCCACACCACCCCCTTTTTTTAAAATTCTCTATACACTGCATAAATACATTTTTAAAAATTCGTAAGATTTTACCTTTATCTCAGCCAGAGTCCAGTCTCATCCAACTAACCCTCTCCACTCGTAACCCCTTGCATCATCTATTGCGAAAAAAACATTAAATATCCAATTACCAAGCCAATAACATAACCAATCGGCATCATCAATGTCAATACCCTATTCGATGGCTTAAAACATAAACCAAGATGTAACATTTTACATAACCAAACCCCAGGTTTAGCTCAATTTCAATCAATCCGTTTCTAAAATTAAGTCCCTTCCATCCCCCATAAGAAACTTTCGTAAGCCCCACTTTGTATCTAAAGCACAAATGTCTGGCCGACCAAACTCATTCCTACTCCGTCTAACCCGCTATCTATCAGCTAAAACTCCCCCCGAGGCCATCTCTTCTTCTAAATTGGCTTTTAAAAGACCGTTAACATAAGTGCATAAAGTATTCATATTTCTCCAATCCAGTGAAATCTCAGCACCTTGAAAAAAAAGAGACATAGATAATTTGAAATTTGAAAGAATATGAAGAAAAAAAAAAAAAGAATATTTCTCTTTAAATTCTTTCTTAAATCTAGCGGCTTCCTTGTTGTTAAGTTAAAACACATTTTGTTTCACCCTAGACTAATTTTAATTCTCAGGCTAGAGAAAGATTTTATTTCCTTTAGATAATTAGATCAAAACGTGGTTTACTCATTTATGAAATTAAATTTTATTATTTCAAATAAATGTCAAAATGAAACAAAGAAAATAATGTTGTTTCTAATTCGCTTCAATCAGAAATCAGCAGTATTGAAATAAAATATTTAAAATCCATTTATATATTTATTTTTCATTTGAATTTTTATAAGCTGGAAGACTAATAGGCCGACACACATTTAAAAAAAATGTTTATGACCACATTTATCATTGTAATTTTGTAACGCAATATGAAAAGTTCAAAACGATTTTTTAGTTAATATTTTTGCAATATTTGTCCCTTTGAATGATAGCGAAAAATTATAATTTTCTTATTTAATTCACAATAAACTTAATATATAGTCTTTAAACGAGTGATTATTAAGAAATCGTCTACAGTCAACGTCATTTAAAAATGAATGTAAAATTAGATATGAAACGTTGCATTTAATTAAAAGTGCAAGTAAATTTGCAAAAAGTTTCCCAAAAATCTAAAACTTTACAAGGTATATTTCTAAATTGGAATTATGCTTGAAATTATATTTGTGATCTGCACGTACATTGATTATTTTTAATCAAATTTATTTCATTACATCGCCAGGGACGAAATCACCTGCAAATGGCTGCTTGGCAACAAATACGTTATGTAAACTTACTAAATTTAAGATTAGGCGACGCTGATATAAGCACGAGTGTACGTTCCGAGCCACTGGCATGTTTCTATGAAAAAACTGCTGATGATAAACTCTTACTCATAAGAAAGTTCCTGTTTCATCATTTTCAGGTAAGATAAAATATTACATAAATAATTTAAAAAATAAAACAAAGTGCAATTACTTCTGCTACTAAAAGTTTAGGATAGTGTCAACCAATGATTTCGAACCTATTGGTCTCACTACATAAACATTTTCTACTTTGGTGTTTGTATAACATTGTTGAAAGTTATTTAGCCAACCTGTTCACACTTAAATAATTTTTTCGGAATTTTGATGACATATTTTTTTTATTAGAATAAATTGCTCAGGTACAGTTTCAAAATGAATAAATTATGCCACCAATTAATTAACTTTTTAGCATTTACGTATAAGGATTAAACAAAAATGCTCCCACTTTTTTTTAGTAATGGTAATTCATATGTTATATCAAAATTAAATGCATCATAGCTTGCTTATCACATTTGTATTTTTATTTTACTCCTTCTATATGGTAAAAGTTCGTTATACATTCCCCTCACTCATTATTGTTATCTGATTTAGAAACATTGATCTTGCCATTTCTCCAAATTTTCAACCTTCCAATAATGAGATTAATTCATCACAGGTGCCGACTATCAGTTACGAAGGAACAGAGAACGCCAGTGAGATTTGCAATGGTGTTGTCGTCGGATCAGATTACAACAAACGTACAGCCGTATTGGCGTACAATTGTTGTAAAAAAAATAAAACAGGCGACATAAATTGTGCTATAATGGAAACTGGAATCTGGATTGAGGTATTGCAACTGAAATTTAATTGGCTTTACACAGAACTAGCAAAATACCCGCGCTTCACAGCAAAGAGCCTTTTTTAAAGAAAAAAAAAGGTATACAATTATCAAGTATCTGCATATTTCGGATACTATGCAATGCATTCCCTTGCGAAAATCAAACCTGCCTTAAATCAATGCCCACTTTTTGTAGGGTTTATCCTTGTGACACCGATCCTGGTAAGACCCAAATTCTAATAAATCCCCAATGCCAATCTGAACCCGATCCCGGCACAATACCTTTTCCCGTTTTTATCCCGTTCCCAGTGGAATCCTATTTCTTTGTTGCTCCGGATCCAGGGGGAATCAAGATACTGTTAGGATCCCAATCCAATTGGTGTCTTGATCCCAAAGGGTTCCTGAACTCAGTGGAACCCGATGCACTACCCATCCCGTTAGGATACCTTTCACAGTTATTCCCGTTTAACCTAAGGACTCTCTTTTCCGATGTTCTCCCTTTTCCTGATAGGATCCTTGTTACGCACTGACTTGTATTGGGAGAAATTAATCTCCTATTTTAATTGGCTCGTTGTAAACAGTGCCTAACAAAGGACGATACCATAGAATCAACAATATTAAAGATACGACCCAAAACAGTTTCTAGTTACAATTAATTAAGATTTATTATGTCTTAAGATAATTACAAAAGAAAAGAAAAATATAATTACAATCTTCAACTTACAGTATAGTAGATCTTGTACCGGTACGCAGTTAACACAGTTAGAATAATGTGCCAATAAATAATGTGAAATAAACACATATAAGCTCACAAATACACAAAGAATAAAACACGCCTCGTAATGTTAAGAAAATGTATCTGAAATCTCCCTCTCTTCGTATCTGTCAATCCTTTATATACATGTAGAGTAAGACGCTTCCAGAAGGGCTTATGACGTGTTGTTTTTTCCATATCTCGGGTTAAGGAGTATATTCCAGAAATTACCCGATGACATTCTACCCAATGCGTAATTGGAAGCCGATTGTAAACAAGAGTGATACTTCAAAGACCTAAGCCACACCCCTTTGTGAACACAGCGTCTCATGCGGGGTCAATCAGAGGGCACGCACGAGAAATATTCTGTAAACAAGCTCTCTATAACAATCCTGATCCCGGTTTAAGCACATTACCCGATGGGATCTCGATGGTATCATGTTCAAATTGGAAACGCGTAACCTAATTGTCTCATTAGGAACCTGTTTCTCTATGGGATCATGCTCAGTGCGATTTTGTTTGGATAAGCTTTTAGATCTAATTATATATCCCCGTAGAACAATATAGAACCTTCTAAATTAAATTTAATATCCTCCAAGAAACGTGTAAAAATTACATATCTACGTAATTATTTCTCGAATGCGAAATATTATACATCTAAAGTTTGGTAATAACTATAATATATTAATTTGATATGAGGGCCCCGTTGGGGGCCCATTTGATAAAGTACCGTTTATGACTGAGAAAGGCTGGAACTGTAAAAAATCATTGAGATAAACTATACATTTAAAACTTGTCCCATTAAAAGTTGTTTACAAAGGCCATAGACATAGCTTTTGTTAACTATCGAAGTTTCTAAAAAAATTCTAGATCAGCCTTGAATGGATTGGATATTAAACCAGCGATATTTTAAAACGGATTAAGAAGGGTATTTCTACAATACTAGGCCCAGAGCCACCTAATCACATAGAACCCAGGGTGTTGTCTAACCCTATTGATATTTAAATTGCTTACATTAGAAAAAATGAAGTTGGGCCCCCGGCCCCAGAAGCATGGATATTATGAGTTCAGTACCCTCCGTTATTTGAATATGGATAATCAAGGGTATGTGTATTGAGTTTGGGCAAGATCCATCCATTCATGTAGAAGTACTAAGCCTATTGCTATTTATATAGTTTATATAAAGAAAAAAGGAAATGGGGCCCTCGGCCCCAGAGGGATGAATATTATGTGTTAAAAACCCTTCGATATTTGAATATGGATAATCAAGGGTATGTGTATTGAGTTTGGTCAAGATCCATCTAATCATGTAGCAGTGTTTGTTGTAAATTTATTTATATAGCTCATGTCAGGAAGAAAACTAAATCGGGGCACCCGGTTGTGACCTTTCCAAGTACAGTTTCGAAATTAAACCTGTTTAACTTTTGTAAGTAAGCCGTAAGGAATATGTCTGATACATTTCAGGCTTCTATCTACATTGCAAGTTGGAGTATATAGGTCATCAAATTAAAATAAAAATGGCCCCTGGCCCGAGAGGTTGAATATTATGAATTATGTACCCTTCTGTATTTGAGAAATGGCTAATCAAGAGTATGTGTACTAGGAGTGGTCAAGATCCGGCTATTCTTGTAGCAGTATTTGTTGATCATTTTATTTAAAAGGCTCATATTGGAAAAACATGACATTTTGGGACCCGGCCCCAAATGGTAAAGAGTTTCAAAATGAAACCTGCTTAACTTTTGTAAATAAGCCGGTAGGATTAAGCCTCCCAAATTTCAGGCTTCTATCTTCATGGGGAAGTTGGAGAATTAGGGATGAGTGAGTGAGGGCTTTGCTTTTTATTATTAGTATGGAAAAGAAATAAATGAAATTGGGCCCCCGGCCCCAGAGATATGAATATGATGAGTTTAGTACCCTTAAGTATTTGAATATCGATAATCAAGGGTATGTGTACAAGTTTGGTTAAGATCCATTAGTTCAAGTGGGAGTACTAAGCATATTTATTTTTATAGGGCTTAAATAAGGAAAAATGAAATGGGTCCCCTGCCCCAGAGGGATGGATATTATGTGTTAATTAGTTAATTACCCTTCGGTATTTGAGTATGAATAATCAAATGTATGTATATTACGTTTGATCGAGGTCCATCTATTCATGTAGCCGTATTTGTTGATCATTTTATTTATATAGTTCATATAGGAAAAAATGACATTTTGCCCCCCCCCCCGGCCCAAACAAAATAGAGTTTCGAAATGACACCAGTTTAACTTTTATAAGTAAGCCATCAGGAATAAGTCTGCCAAATTTCATGCTTCAAACTACAGGTAAAAAATACATTTTTCCCCCCCCCCCCCCGGCCCAAACAAAATAGAGTTTCGAAATGACACCAGTTTAACTTTTATAAGTAAGCCATCAGGAATAAGTCTGCCAAATTTCATGCTTCAAACTACAGGGGAAGTTGGAGAAATAATGATTGAGTGAGTGAGGGCTTTGCCTTTTATTAGTATAGATATAAAATTTTTCATCCAAAATTAATTTTTTATTTTAAAAAAAAAATTTAATTTTTTAATGAAAGTACAAAGAATTTCAAATAAAGTAAATAATTATTTTTTTTGTTGAAATAGTAAAAACTTCAGAATTTAAAAATATTATTTTGGTAACCGAAACTATTTTGCATACGTAGTCATTATCTTACATCTCATTTCAGCTATTTACTTATTATCCGATGTTTTATTTATTTTCGCGAAATGCATACAAGGAAACGCTACCGTTCTTTAATACTTAACCTTAACAATGGTAGAGTATAAAAAGAAATAAGATATATCTGTACGTTGAAGAATAAGCATTGACCCTGGGAATTACTTTTTTTTTGGAATGGATTGAGCTTGTACATGTTTTTAAGAAAATTACATTTAAAATATATTATTTTCTTCCATTGTTACAGGTACTAAGCTACTACTATTGGGTTGTAAGCTTCGTGGCCATTTTAGTAACTGTAATACAAGTCATGAACACAAAGAAAAAGTTGGTTTATTATTTGTCTCCAGTATTAATATTTAATGCGTGTGTACTTATATACAATAAAATGAATGGATGCTTTAAAAAAACACAAAAAAACAATAATAATATATATGTTTTTTACACGCACGTAATTTAAAATAAAAAAAAGGAAACTAACTATAGAGCATAACAGCATATTTATGAATAGCTAGATGCCATAATAGAAAATCAATATTCACCAGGTTTTTTTCCTAGTGTAGTAAGTGTCTTCCACTTTACTCTTATTTTTTTAAAATCAAAGACAAAAATAACTGACAATTAAACATTAATGTGTACGGATGATTGTATGGATGGTGGATAGAACAATTCATAGATTGGTGGATGATCGATGAATGGCTGATGTATGGATGGCTGATTTATGGTTGACCAATAAATGGATAATGGTGGGAAGAAGGATGATGATGGTGGACTTTATATGGATACTTGCAAGGATGTTGGATGAAGGAATAGATGGCCGGTTAGTTAGGTAGGTAGATAGATAGATAGATAGATAGATAGATAGATAGATAGATAGATAGATAGATAGATAGATAGATAGATAGATAGATAGATAGATAGATAGATAGATAGATAGATAGATAGATAGATAGA